ATTTCTAAGAACTAAGAAGTGCAAGTGTGTGTGAAGTGATCGATGATCGGAACCAACCATTGATCAGCTCAGCCTCCGGGAGATAGGATCTCATCATCCATGCCCACCATGGTATGATGGAGCTCCTAAACACAACCGGGTCGTCGTTGGTAGCTGATTCTGGGTGAAGCTCAAGAAACTTCCTCCTCTTTGCTTCTGTAGTGCCAAATTGCCAATACATATAAAATAAACAATTTTTTTAATGCAATGTATAAAAAAGTTAAAATAGGACACAAACATAGACCAATTAGCCTATATAAAACATGAATATTTCAATAGAAACACAACTTTTGTGATAAATCTGAGAAAGACCAATTAGAGCAGAGCACCTGCTAGAATGATGCCATCCCAGTCCAACTTGCCATCCTTGGAAAACATATTTAGATCCCATGTCCCTTTCTTCCACCGCTTGTCGTTGAACTTCACAACAGGCAATTCTGTACCCAAACCATGCTGTGATTTGTAGTCTGCAGCATCCTCTGCCTCAGGCCTATCGATGCGTAAAGCAGACTTCTCTTGCTTCTCTATGTTTAAACAATTTTGAGCTTTCACATCCAGCGCAACAACATGATGGGTGGCCTCTTTTGTCCCCAATGAGCGAGCAGCTGGTCTGGATTGGGGCTGTTGTTTCTTAGTGGCTTGATGTGAGCTGCAAACTGTTTGCAATGAAGCAGAAATGGCCAAGGAAGCCATGCCTTAAGGTAGCTCTCCTCCTTTGTTCTTGCTAGTTTGGTGCTTCAGTTTGTTGTTCTTTTCTTTTTATCAAAATGATCTTATAGATAGAAAGTAGGGAGGAAGCCCATGCTTGGGAATTTGAAAGCTTATCTTCCCTTCCTTATTTTTGTCAGTGAAGTTATGGGCAAACTCTTTAGTGTATCTGCTTTAACCATTTGCATTTTTTTAAAGAATTGGTAAAAATTGCTAGCAAGAAATTTAATATGCATTTTTCACTGAATCTTTATAGTTTAAATCACTCTAGACTTGGTGCAAACTATCTATAAAAACTTGGGTGGATAAATTCAGTTGGATTTTCTTTATATTTTATAAACAAGGGAGGCCAAAGGACAATCATTCTTTCAAAGCCAACAGTGAACCAGAAATTGTGGCCAAATTCACCTGACTAATTAACTTTAAGTCAAATGATAACAACACTAATACAAGGATAAGAATAGCAACCACCAAATTATCATTTCAGCCACATTGCAACAAGAAAATCATATTTTTCTTCATTAGTCACTTCCTCTAATCGATACAAAATCTGCCAAAAAATGCCACAATTAACTGCGGAAAAAGAGAACAGAGAATTTTGGAGGTTGCTAAGAATGGCTTCAAGCTGCCTCTTCAGCC